GCCCTGACAAATGCCGACTTCCTGCGAAAAAGCCCCCGCAATGCAGCGAGCGTCCGCAGGGTGCGAGCAGGTGACGACGCTCTTCGGCGAGAGGCTCAACTGCTGCTGCTTGAGATATCGTGCTGTCGCCGCAGTGCCTTTGATCAGCGCGGCCCTCTCATGCCGCCGCGAGCCCGAAACTCTCTGGGACAGGTCGTCTACCCACAAACGCTCGGAAAGAGTAGTGCGAGCGATGCGTAAGTTCTGAACCACCCAATACGTCATGCACTTCGCAAAGCGAGCGCCGTCGCGAAAGCCCTGAACCGCGGACCACGCTGATTGAAACAACCTTGAGAACGACCCCAGCTGAGCAGGGGTCCTCGGGCACATGCAGAGCTGCAGCCCGAGGAACAACATTTGAGGAAACCCGAGCTCGATGGCCCCCTTGGCTAGGGGCCCGAACCCGATGCTGTCATGAGGATTCGATATCGGCCAGGGCGTGTCCGTGTGGCAAGGCCGTTTTGCTCGCCACCTCATCGTCGATGGCGCGCGCGCAGGCCTCGCGCAACGCATTGTTGTCGGCCACCGCAGCATCCAACTCGGGCTCTTGCTCAACAGCCCACTGCCGCATCAAGGGTTCACGACGCATTGGCCATGCCCGACGGAACACCGCCAGCGCACCAATCATTCGGTCGCCGCCATTGTTTTCCCAAGAAGACAGCCAATCGCTGTCATAACGCCAGGGCCACGACAGGCCCTCCTCGATCGTCTGATAGAGCTGGTATAGCTCCTCGAGGGCCACATCGGGGGGCCTCTCCACGCCGACTGGGGATAACCGATCAATCCCCAGCCCTGCCTTGCTCTTCATCTTGGAAAGAGCTGCGCGCGAATCGCCAGCGGTGATAGGCACCAGTGGCTCGATAGCTGCATGCTGTCGGATAAACCCACACAATTCTCCAACCATGCTGAAAGACAAAGCACCTGAACGCCACAGCCTGTGATACTTCTGCGCCTTCGCATCGATGATGTCCAGTGTGTGAGCGTAACACTGCTGGTCAAGATGCAGTTCGTCTGCGACTGGCCGGGGATCCTTCAGATCCCCGTGAACAACACCCACTGCTGGCGTCGGTGCAATCCACTCTTGAAGCTCCTTCAGCGAAGCCGAGGCGGCCCGATACTCTGCGACGCGAGCCCAGCGGAAGGCCCAGGCTCCCAGCAACTTGACGATCCACACTCGCATGTTCTAGCCCTGGCAAATCGCGCTGCAACTCCGCCCGCGTGCCGAAACTGATCATCTTGATGGCCCTCGCTCCATCTGGCGCACTGCTGCTGACCCGCGCAGCAGGCGCGCAGGGATGCTGAGTCTGAACAGGCCCGTTCTCCCGCCTCCGATGTCGTAGGAGCCTCTGGATCATTGAATGCGCACTGGCCCACCAGCTTGCCGCCACGTCGTGCAGCGGCTGCTCCCGCAAGTGGGGGGCCTGGTGCGCTGGGGCCACGATCAGCTGGACCCCCCGAGCGCGCGACTGTCGCGGGGGATCCTGCTCATGATGCATGGCCATTACCCGCTCGAGTGACTCGATCCAGGCACCATGCCTGATGCTGATCGGCAGAATGTGTTGCTGCCCGACCTGGAAAGCAAGTGACTGCCGCACTGCGGGCAAAACATCATGAAGAGAGTGTTGGGGCCAACCAACTTGCGCCGATGCTGCGGACCAAGTGGAAGCAGAGATGGGGAACGGCGGAGAGGCAGCAGCAGCGGCAGAAGAGTGGGAAGAGTCAGGACCAGCTCCACTGGGGTCACCTTCGGGGCAATCGCTGGGTTGGGCCCTACTCTCTCTCTCTCCCCCACCGTTGCAGCTGATGAGATACCGACTGAAGTATCCTGGAATGTGTTGGCAAGGGCCCCGCTGGGCTTCCGAATCACTCGCTCGGGGGTCCCACAGGCATGTTCTACTCCACGCCCAGGTGCGGCGCGCGAGGTCAAACCCAGAGCGTGAATTACCTACCCCGCTTTCGCTTCCAGGAAACACCAAGTCATACCACGCGCCTCCTCGTCAAGCGACCTGACCAGTACATGCCTTAGTCTGGCGTCGCTTGGTATCTCTTGGAAGCGAGGGTGGTCAAAAGCGAGGCAGGTTTGCTTTCCCCCTACAAGCCCGAGCTCTCGTCCCGCGGCGCAACCTGGAAACTAGCCTCGTGGGTCCAAGGGCCCCCCTCCCCCTCGGACCCGAAACGAGCACCCCCGACGTCCTCGAGCGGCGCCTCGCCGAGAGCAGGCGCGGACGTGGCGAGGGCGCCCGCGCCGTCCTCGCTATTCGAACCCACCCCCTCCTCCTCCTCCTCCTCCTCCTCCTCCTCCTCCTCCTCCTCCTCCTCCTCCTCCTCCCCCTCCCCCTCCCCCTCCTCCTCCTCCCCCTCGGACTCGACACGAGCACCCCCGACGTCCTCGAGCGGCGCCTCGCCGAGGGCAGGCGCGGACGTGGCGAGGGCGCCCGCGCCGTCCTCGCTGTTCGAACCCACCCCCTCCTCCTCCTCCTCCTCCTCCCCTCCTCCTCCTCCTCCTCCCCCTCCTCCTCCTCCTCCTCCTCCTCCTCCTCCTGTCTTCAACGAGCGAAGAACGGTATAAGATACACTTGTTCGCTGTCGGGGGCGCCTGTCCCTGGGCGGCTGGAAAGTTTATGCCCCTACGGTGCCACCGTAAGGGTATAAACTTTCCAGCCGCCCTGGGACAGGCGCCCCCGACAGCGAAAAAGTTTATGTTATACCGTTCTTCGCCCGTTAATGTCTCAGTGCGCCGTCTCAAGACAATCGGAGTACAGCTCATCACACGACGCCCTACTTTTCTCTCGAGCGAGCCCGCACAGTGCAGGGCGAGTGCTGCGAGCCTTGCTGGATTTGCGAGTACCTGCGTACTGCGGGCCCACGTTTGGTCTCTCCACGCGAGGAAAACGATGTGCAGAGACAAGCTTGCGCATCTATAATTGCCGCCTGGTTCCCTGCAAACAATTTGACAGTCCACAATGAGGCTTCCAAAGCACGTGCGACACGGCTTCGACACTTTTGATATACGGCACACAAGTTGCGCCTGCGATGATGTAGTCAAAGTGAGAATCCCCTGGGCTCCCCCATGCGCGTGCACTCCACAGACGACCTCATAATGTGATCGTCGAAATGACGCAAAAGCTGTGATTTAGCCCTGGTATGGATATCTACGCTGAAATCTCCGATGATGCACCAAGGTAGCTGCAGGCTCTGCACGAAGGCCCCGACCTTGCCGAACCTCATGACGTTGCCTATAGTGAAACCGATGGACAAGAACCCCCTCTGGTGGATCAGCACTGGCATGAACCCGTCGAAGGAGTCGCTCCCCTCGGCGCAGCAGGCTGGCAGGTCGCGCGCCTTCTGATTGAAGCGCTGGACATGCCTGCAGTTCCTGGCAAGGAAGGCTCCCCGCCCTCCGTAGCCTTTTCGCGAGCAGCCTCGGACCTCCCTTTGCCCGTGTCCCTCGCGCCATTGTCGAGGAAGCGCCATTTGGGCGCTTGAATCTGTTGGGCCCCCTCGCTGCGAGTAGGCCCACCCCCGGGCACATGCGTCTCAACGACCCCGACGTATTGGCACTCATTCCCGACCTCGCTGCTGGTGAGGCAGGCCCGGGACTTCTTCCCCAGCGCGATGATGTTCGCGAAGAACATATTGCACTCCTGCTCCTCCTCCTCGTCGGCCGCGCCCGCTGCAGGCTCCCGGGCCTGCGCGACTGCGCCCTGCGGCTCCCCTGGTGGCGGGAGCCGCAGCCGCCGGGGAGCCCCCCCTCCGCCTGCGTCGCCTGCGGCGGCCGACTCCGCGCTTGTCTTCCTCGTCTTCATCGTCCGTTCCTCGATCTTATGCTTGATCTCGGTGACAGGCGCCTTCCACTGATTGATATCCTCTGCCTTGGCCGTGAAGTTGGACTTGGCCACCTGCAAGTCCTGCTCGAACTGCTTGAGCTTCTGGCGTTCGGCCTCAGTGCACTCGAGAGAGTCGAGCTGCTCGAAGAAGACCGTGTCCCGCTGCAGCTCGATGAATGCGGTGCCGTTGCCCCCAGATGGGGAAGAGCTGCTGCTCTCAGCGACGCCGACCTCACGAGCCATGGCCGTGGTCGCCACCTTGGGACCCAGCTCAGTCGCGGCTAGGGTCCTGATCGCCTCGGCCGCGCGAGCCTTGGCCTTCTCTAGGCTCTCCTTGCAGCGCTGGACCTGCGACGCGGCCTGCTCGAACTGCAAGGGCGCCTGCTTCCAGATCCCCTCCGCCCTGCGCACAGCCTCCGCCGCGGACACTGACGACGTCTGAGCCTGCGCAGATGAGGGACCCTTCTTCACCTGTTCATGCAACACCTGCTTCAGCGCGGGATCGTTGGGCATCTTCGCTGCTTGCGCCAACAGACCCTCGACTGTGGGCTGGTTGGGCCTGGTGTCGACGAGTACGGGGGAGTCCTTCGAAGGCTTGGCCTTGTGAAGTTTCACCTGCCGCCCGCATTTCCTACACTTACACTTGTTCACCTGCAAGACATCGTTGTATTCGTATATCCCGCACGAGTTGCAGGTGGACCACACACGATGAGGCGTGGCTTCAATGGCTGAACCTCTTCTTTGCCAGCGAGAGCGCCGAAACGGATGCTGGTGGCTCGCTGCTCCTCAAGCACTGCGGGGAAGTGAGAGGCCTTGGCGCGAGGCCGCAACAAAATGATGCAATCGTGCCAAAATGAGCTTGAAAAGGAGGAGGAGGAGGAGGAGGAGGAGAGGAGGAGGAGGAGGAGGGAGGAGGAGGAGGGAGGAGGAGGAGGAGGAGGAGGAGGAGGAGGAGGAGGAAGGAGGAGGAGGAGGAGGAGGAGGGGGAGGAGGAGGAGGGAGAGGAAGAGGAGGAGGACGAGGAGGAAAAGGAAGAGGAGGGAGAGGGCAGAGACTCTTCGGATTTCGCTGCATGCCAGTGGCGGGGCGGCGGGTGCGGCTCCAGCTGCTCCTGGATCATCCTGTGGGCCCCCCATGGGAGGTGGAGCGGTTCCAGCTGTTCTTGCGCCTCGTGGCGGACCCGAACAGGGCGCCGGACCGCGGGGAGGTCTACCTCAGCGAATGCTTCCGCCACGTGCTCGCCGCAGGTCCTCCCAGCCCCTCCGCCGCCGCCGGGCCCTCCCCCACGTACTCCCGCTCTATGTTTCTTGTCCTCTGTTTTCTCATACTTTTCCTTCTCCTCCTTCTCCCCTCCTCCCCTTCCTCCTCCTCCTCCATAGCAGTTCCTCCTGATGAATTGCTCCCTGTCGAACCTCGAGGCCAGTCGGAAGGGCGGGCCTTGCGTCTCGCTCGAGATCCCCTGACCATCTTATGAGCCTGAAGCTGAACAACGGACAGCAGTTTCGAAGATGGAAGGCAGTGGTTTTCAAAATGTGGCTTTCGCCCTAGCGCCGCGCACATTCCTTTGTAACAGCATGCGATAGCTTCACGGGTTGAGGGCGGGACGTGCTCAACATGCGGCTCTCGCCTGACCGCCGCGCACATTCGTTTTTGAGCACGTGCAGATGCTTGACGTATCGAGGGTGCGTGGTTTTCAAGATGTGGCTCGCGCCGCAGCGCTGCGCACATTCTTTTTTCACAGAGTGTAAGAGCTTCGCGGGGTGGGGACGGGTGGTTTTCCAAATGGGGCTCTCGCCTCAACACCGCGCACGTGCGTTTGTAAAAAAAATGTGCAGGAGCTTCACGGGATGAGAACGGTTTCTTTTCAACATGGGACTCTCGCCTTAGCGTCGCGCGCATTCGATTTTAACATTCGCAGGACTATCACTGGTTCGCATAGTTAACAAACGTACCAGACATGGCGTTTTGGAAATACTCAGGCTTCTCAGGGCGCAACAGCTACCTTGATTCGCGGTGTTGAAACAAATATTGCACACCAGATATCGTACCACATAGATTGTACCGCGTAAGTTGCGCCACAGTATACATTACTAGAAGCACATTTTCAGGGACCTGCGCCGGCTTCTACATTCCCCGAGCGGTGTTTGCACTCAGGGCTCGCACTTCTGGGATAAATGGACTGGGTGTGGGGGCCGGCCTTGCGGCTATGTCGTCGCTGTCGCCGCCCCGTCGCCGCCCCGTCGCCCTCAGTCGTCTGGGCTTGGGGGTCGGTCTGGCGGCTATGTCTCGGGAGGGGAAGAAACACACAGACACAATTGATCGTTGACTCCCTAGAAAATATGGGAAAACATGGGATGTGGTGGGGAAGATAAAAACACAGAAAATATAGGAAAATATGGGGGATTTTTTCTTATTTGTGTGTATTTATTTGTGTGTCCCAGGGCCCCTTCAATGTCGTCGCCGCTGCTCCCCCCATCGCCGCCCCGTGGCCCTCTCGTCGCCGCCCGTCGTCTGGACCCTCCATCGCTTCGCACGCGGTTTGCACTGCTGCGCCGCGCTGCGCCATGCTCTGCACTGCTCGAAGGATTGCAAAAAAAACCCGAAGGATTGCAAAAAAACCCTTCGAAGGATTGCAACAAAAAAACCTCGAGGGTTTCTTTTGCAATCCTTCGGGTTTTTTTGCAATCACTGCTGTGCCGTTCTCTGCATCGCCCGGCATTGCTGTGCACTGCTTTGCACTGCTCTGCACTGCCTCGCATTTGCATCGCATCGTTTTGCACCGCTCCGCACTGCTTGCATGGCAACGCATTGCAATCGCACTGCTTTTTGCAATCGCACTGTTTTGCATTGCGTTGCATAACATTGCATTTCTTTGCGTTACATACTTTGCATTGCTTTCCAATGCTCTGTGTTGCTGTGCAGTGCTTTTTGCAGGATTGCACCACCTAGATTGCACCACATTGATTGCTACACCTAGATTGCACCACATAGATTGCAATAAGTCTTTGTTGTTGGTCCACACTGGCTAACATGTGCGTATAAGAGTAGCAGAAATACAGTGCACGGGAAAGAGGCACATGTGTGTATACATACAGAGAGAGGGAGAGAGAGAGAGAGAGAGAGAGAAGAACAACAACAAATGGAGGGGCAACGGTCAACAGGTGTAGGTATATTAGTTGGGCCCTGTACTTGGCTCACCCGACTCACCTTGTGTTGCCTTACTCATCTGTCCACCCATCCCGCGCGGTCTTGGAAGTTGCATTGGAACGTGTGCGTTATTGTTGCACTGTTGCTTGTCCCTCTATCATCTGCCCCGCTCCGGTACGTATCTGTCCTGGATCTTATAGATCAGTCGCCTCTTTCCCGTCGGTTTCATCATCGACGACGCGTTCTTCTTTCGTGTTCTCGGACATCTGGAGCGCGAAGACTTCGAGAGGATGGGACGGAGGGCGTGCATGCGCGAGGGTGGGAAAGGCGATAACACCAGCAATGTAAAGGAGATGGCAGGAGGAAGATGAGGAGGACGAAGAAGAATAATAAGAAGAAAAGGCGTAGTCAGGAGGAGGAGGAGGAGGAGGAGGAGGAGGAGGAGGAGGAGGGGGAGGGGGAGGAGGAGGAGTTGGTGTGACGCCATGTGTATATTGCCGAATGCTGCGGGGTTGTCCCAAAATCTCCCCATCCCTCCCGCTCATCGGGCCTCTTCGAACTCCTCAGCTCCGCCTCCATTCTCATAGTGTTTTCCAATGTTTCCCTTGTGCCGTTGCTCTTCCCGTCCTCCTCGTCCACTCGTGCGCTTGGGACCTGCCGCCACGTCACGCGTTCGCAGTTTGAAAGGAAAGGGCCAAAGAGGAACCAACGGTCAGGGGTTGCTCCCGAAACAGAACTCTTGGTTTTTAGGGAATCTGTCGCCCGTTGTTGGGCGCATGTTCTCAGGCGCTAGCTTTCTTTGTCACCAACAGAGCCTTGGCTGGGTGTAGAACATCCACCTCCTCCTTCTCCTACGATGCCTTCTCTTCCTCATCCTCCTCCTTGTGTTCGTCCTCCACCCCCCTGATCCATCCTCTCTGATCCCTCCTCATTCCTCCGTTCTCGTCGTTGTCCTCGTCGTCGTCCTGTTCCTGCTCCTCCTGATTTGCATCTTTGTCTGGTCTCTGCCGTGCTCCGAAGTCCCGCGTTCGATCTGTGGCAGCACAGGCAGGAGCAGGAAAAGCGTCAGAAGGAAGACGAGGAGGAGGGGAAAGAGCAGGAGGAGAGGGAGGAGCAGGAGAAGGTCGAGCATGAGAAACAGCAGCAGCTAGACGAGGCGCGGAGGAGAACGAGGAGGGGGAGGAGGGTTAAAAGGAGGGTTAGGAGGAGGAGGAGGAGGAGGAGGAGGACCGTCCCTGGCGGCTTCGCCGCACTAAGTTTCGTCTCGGGCAGTGGGCCGTCCTCACTGTCGAATCGGACTGCGACCGACTGTTGGCTGCGAGTGCGAGTGCCAGGGATGGTCTCAGACATGCCTCCTGAGCGCTGGGGCGCGAAGAGAAGTGCCGCGGATGCGGGTTTCTCTCGAGCGGCCTCTCGGAATGTGCCAGACGGCTGACCTCTGCACCTTCGCATCCATGCGTCCACCTTCCCACTCGCACGGGGTCGGTTGCACAAGGCTGCCCTTTCGTCTTCGTCCGAACTTTCCTTGCGAGGGTTCGCTGCTCCTGGCATCCTAACAAAGGGCTGCCCTTTCATCCCTGTCCGAACTTTCCTTGCGAGGGGTCGGTGCTCCTGGCATCCGTGCGTCCACCATCCCTCTGCGATGTTTCCGGTAAGCGAGGCTGTCGTAGCGCACATGTCTCCACAGTCAAGTTGCACGCCGTATGTAGCTATACTGGTTCGAGCTCTCGTCCCAGCACCGTCACAAACAACCCGTCTGTGGAGACCATGCCTCCCGATTCATACGAACACGTTTCAGCGCAGGAAGGCGAAGTATTTCGTCGTCTGCACCAGAATGGGCTGGGAGTGAAAAAGATCAGCCGGACAACCAGGCGATCTCAATCCAGTGTCCCGGCATGTGTTCAGGAAACATACAGTTGCAAAAATAAAAGGACGCCAGAGGGCGTTCGTGAGCACTGAGAAAGGGTTCTTCGCAGCGCAGAAAGCGCATGCCAGGCTCCTCCGCAAGTCCACGGACCTCTCGGAGGTCACGGCGGGCATTGTCAAAGATGAGCTGGGGGAGTCGTGCTCCACCCGGACCCTCCAGAGGGCGTTCTGGGAACATCTGGGAACACGACGTGTATTTTCGACCCTCCTACGAGAAGCCAGATTTGATCCTGGAGAACACTACGGAGCGCCTGGAGTGGGCGGAGCACCACCGCCACCGAACACCCGGGCAGTGGGGCCGTTACGTCCGCGCCTTCAGGAACAATGAGGTTTTCCCAGTCTACACTCGCGGGTTGTTCCGGAGAGCTGCCGCGAAACGGTTGGCGCGGGGGTCTTGCAGGACTCGCGAAAAGGTGTTTTTTTCCACAGGGTACGCGAAGCCATGAAAACACACCCAATATTCTCAAGAACAGCGCCGGGACCCAGTCCATCTCGGTGGCGTGCGCCATCAGCTGCGAAAAGGTGCTCATGTGGCACGTCGTTCCAGGTCAATGGAATGGCACAGAGGCCGCTCGGATGTACTCCGGCCCTCGAAAGACAGCCCTCCAGAGGGCGCTCCCAGCGGTCAAAAGGGTCTTGGCGCGTCTTGGAGGACAACGACCCGACAGGGTACGCGAAAACCATTCACGGGATCCAGACTCTGGACCTGCCCAAAAGGTCGCCCGACTTGAACCCGCTGGACTTTGCGTTCTGCGCCCACCTGACTCGGCGCATGCGCGCCACCGAGAGGTCGCGGCTGGACTCGCGACGCGAAGCCCGCGCTCAGTACGTCGCGCGGCTCCGCCGCGCCGCGATATTCACCCCGCCCGAGGTCCTTGCTCGAATCACGGGAGGCCTCGCGAGGTGGCGCGCGCTGCTCGCCGCCGCGAAGGGCGCTCACATCGCCGACGGGGGGCCCACCTAGATGCTCCATCTTGCTTCCGGCGACGCCGCCTGCCCCCCAGACGCGAAAGTGGCCGCGCGGGCGCGCGGGAGGCAACCCCCGCAGCCGCTGCGCCTGCGCCTCCGCGCCGCTGCCTGCGCGGGCTCGGCGACGCAAGGCTGCGCCTGCGTCCGCGTCTCCAAGGGTTCGGCGCGCCCTGCCCCGCCTCGACGCCGCTGCCTACGAGGGCTCGGCGACGCGAGGCAACCCCTGCATCCGTGCTTCCAACTGCCGCTTCCAAGGGTTCGGCTCGCCCTGTCGCGCCCCCGTGCCATTGCCTGCGCGGGCGCGGGCTTGGCGACGCAAGGCTGCCCCTGCATCCCCCCCCGTCTATTTGCCGATTGCAAGGCTTCGGTTCTCCTTGCCATGCCTCCGCGCGACTGCATGCAAAGGCTCGGCGATGCAAGTGCTCGGCGACGCAAGTTTTCCTTAGTCATCCCCAGAGGACAATTAGAGGACAACTAGAGGACAACCTAGAGGACAACCAGTTTCGCGTGGAGCTCCCAGCAAAACATTGCCATCTACAGTAACAGAAGAACGCTTGCCTTTTTTAGAGTTGTGCCATGTTTTTGGTTGGAAGTTTCACGCGAAACTGGCTGTCCTCCAGGTTGTCCTCTAGGTTGTCCTGTAGTTGTCTTCTAGTTGACTTCTAAGGAAATCGCGAAGGTGAGGCACATGTAGTTCGCAAGGAAGTGGCGGTGTCTGAACTTCGCGCAGACGGCGCTCCCCACCTCCACGCGGCCGTCTTGCTGAATGGCACTAACTGGCGAGCAGTCGCAAAGAGCACCGTGAGGCCTCGCCACCAACTGGCCGCGGACTTCTCTCTCAGCCACCGCGAGTGCTGGAGCGCCTGGAGCGCGCTGCGCGACCTAACGCACACTGCGAGCGAGAAGCTGGAAGTGGATGGAGACCGAACTGCGCGGCTCGCGCCCGCGGAGTTGTTCGACGCTTTCAAGGATGGCCAAGAGCCGTGGAATGCTCTTGCGTGGCGCGCCAAAAGAGAGAAGCGCGACATGGCAGCAGCAGCTGAAGAGACATCTACAGTCTTCACAACATTGGATTTCAATGCGCTGGCCCTGTCAGAAAGCTTGGGCACTCGGACGAAGATGTTGGCTCAAGCGCAAGATCACGGGGGCGTTTCCACGCGGTCGTTCACGACCAGACACCAGAGAGACTTGACGAGGTGTTTGATGGAGGCCGCCGAGCGGCGCGACGCCAAGAAAGTCGCTGCAGACGAGTCGGTGACCAATTGGGCGCTGCTGCGCCAGACCGCCGATCAGCCACGCCCGCGCGGCTGCGCCTGCAATTCCCGCCGCTGCACCGAGGAAGTTATGGGTGACAGCGGCTCCAATTGGGGTCGGAGGCGCCTCGCAGCATCACTTCGCAGCATCATCATTGCAGGGTCGACCAAGGATGCGCGCGTGCCTTTCTTGACGGGGACAACCAAAATTGGGGGGATCCACTGTAGTGGGCCCGTTCGACGCGCTATTTGGACACAGTCGCGCATGTCACCTTCCTGCTATCACTGACGAGAAGTTCGCTTTGAGCAACTGGGGCAGAGAGAGACGCGATTTGTATTTTGGACGAGTTCAGGCCAGTAGAATGCGCAGATCGACGCGTCTTGCCCGGCGCCACTTTTAAGAAGGCTTTCGGCGGCAAAGTACTTCGGAGTGCAGGAAACGCAGTGTTGGCACGCAGGCAATGATAATTTCAGATGGCAGCCTTAGAGTATGGACGCCGACTGAAAAGGTGAGCTTGGAAGACATTCGCCATCTGCAATCTCGGGTGGAGATGTTCCTTCGCGCGCATTCGGTTCTGCGACCTGGTACTGTTGGCGTTCAAGACAGCAAGGTGAGTGCTGACAATATGGCGAGGTGGATCTGCGATGGGGCAGTGGCTTACGATGCTGTTCAGGTCTTGGACCATGGCCCATTGCCAGCAGCTCCTTCTGGCGGCTCCGCTTCAGCATCCACAGGGATGGCTGGAGTAGCCGACCTAGCTGAATTTTTCCACGCCGCACAACTATCCACTGACGTCAGAGAGGCCCTGACCAGGGATGTGGTGGCGGTTGCTGCTGTGCACGTGCAAGAGCTAACTCGCCAGGATTGGGGGAGTTTAGGGTCCTGACAATTGCTGAGGTCCTTGCAACAAAGCCGCGTTTTGAAATTTGTCCCTCCATGACAGCTCGATGGTTGCATGTTAGACATTACTAGATTCCGAGCGCTGCCTTGTCTTGGTGTTAGAAAGATGGCCTACGAACAACATGTTTTAAGAGGGGAGCAGCAAGCGTTCCTAGTATTGTCAGCACGTCGAATGCTGGGTTCGGAAACCCCGTCGCGCGCTTTGCCGGGCTCGGTTAGGGAGTGCCGCAGGCGTCTGTG